ACAGGGGTTTTCCACAGCCCCTTCTTTGCAATGGAGCAGTTTTCTAAAGCAGTTCACACAACTCAGGAAACAGCTGCCTTTAGTAGTTAATTACAAAGGAGATTTTAAAGGATACCAATGAAAAGCCAAAGGGTGAGACAAAGGACAAGATGTGGAAGGGACTCCAGAGCAGGAATGTCTGTCCCTGTGGTTGACTTTTGCCACCTCTGGAAATGTGGATTTATTCTCACTCACCTTCCTAGAATCCCCCTGAACCCATGCCTTTTCTCGGTTTGCTTTTATTTTTTGAGATGCTGGGAATTGAACTCAGGGCCTCATGCCTGACAGGCCACCCCTCTACCACATATACTGGCCCTCCTTTTCTGCGTTCATAAAGGACACACTATCTAAGCATGCTTAATTAAACAATTGGTCATTGGTGACCAACTCGATCTTTAGCCTTCCCCCTATCCCAAGTGGGGCCAGGGAATTTGAATCCTCTCTGGGCACTAGGTTGTCTCCCCTGCCAACCAGACCCCCTTACTGTGGTTATCTTAAAACTCTTCAAAAATCATTCATTAATATCAACTCAGATATGGCTGAAAAGGGCTTGTAGCCAGGCATGGTACCTCACACCTATAATCCCAGCAGTCTGGGAGGCTGGGAGATGGTGAGTTTGAGCCCAGTGATTTAGCAAGACCTTGTCTCAAAGTAAAGAATGAAAAGGGTTGGGGATGCAATTCATTAAGAAGTCCCTGGATTCAATCTCCAGTACCACAAAAAAACACTGGCGTGGAGTAGAGATTACTATAAATAACAAATACTACCTTTGTTCTTCAGGAACCAAGGAGAAAAAACTAAATATCATTACAAAAGCTGTTCCTGTTACTCTAGTCACACAAGGGCTTCAGGAGCCTTGAGCCAGGAACTGGCTCCCTGCCACACACATATCTTTGTATCATTATCAGAATATCACAGAAATATAACTAACAAACCACTAGTACAGATAAAATGGAAAACTAAAAATTACTCAACTAATCTCAAAGAAAGCAGGAAAAGAAAAAGAATGAATACAACAATGAGCAAGATCCTAATTAAATAGAAAACGAAAACAGTTGAAACCCTACAAATTAATAGCAGAGTTTGTCAAATTTAGAAAGAAAATCCAAGCCTTATATTGCTTACAAAAAACATAGTTTAAAGTTCAGTAAGTGTAACAAGTTTAAGAAAATGAGTAAACTAAGATAAATGAGGTGGTTATACTGGTACCAAATAAAGTAGATTTAGAGACAAGGACTGTTAGCAGAAGCAAAAATGAATGTTTCATAATGATAAATAGGTTAGCTCACCAAGAAAGTTACCTAGTAGAATGCCTACCTGAACCTAGCTGGACATCTAATCTTGTTTATCTCTGAGAACAGGATTTGGATGTCTGCTGAAATCCCTCTGCAGGTGGGCAAGCCCAAACCCAGGGGATCTGAGACAGGCCCCAGAGTGACCCTCAGATGACCTCTAAGCTTCACTATTATCCAACTTCCATGCTAAGTGACAGCCCCTCCACCAGTATGGCCAAAACTGAGAGCATAAAAAGAAGAAAGAATTGAGTTGGGAACTGGAATTTGGCTCAGTGGTTTTGCCACCTGCCTCACAAGCATAAGGGCCCGAGTTCAATCTCCAGTACCAAAATAAATAAATAACTTTAAAAAAATAGAATTGAGTTGGCATCTAACTTATAAGGATTTTAAAAATTCTCTGCTCATCCAAAGAAAAGACATGAATATTCCTCCACTTTAATAGCCTATCGCAACCTTATGACTTTCCCACCCCCAACACATCGAAAGACTGATTTGCCAGCTACACTCCCACTTCTTCATTCCTTTACCACTATATAAACTTGTGCTACTGGTCCTTGGTCTCATCTTAGGCTTTGCAAACTGGGTGGAAAAAGAAAAAAACTATATTGGGAGCCCCTCTCTTAGAAGAAAAGCAACAAATTCTGGGTAACAAGAAGGCATAACCATACAAGCCAGGTGTGGGGGTTCAGGCCTGTAATCCCAGCTCTGGGAGGCTGAGGCAAGAGGATCACAATTTGAGACCAGGCTGGGCAATTCAGTAATTTAACAATACTCTGTCTAAAAATATATTTTTAAAAAATTTTTAAAGGGCTGATGATGTAGCTCAGCATGAAGGCTCTGGGTTTGATCCCCAGTACAAAAGAGAATGAAAGAAGAAGAGGAAAATGAGGAGTAGAAGAGGAAGAAAAAGGAAGAGGAGGGAAGGAGGGAGAGGAGGGAGAAAAAAGGAGAAATCACAACAATAATAAATGTACACATACCTAATCAGAGATTCAAGAGACAATGATAACTGAAAATGATATCAAGAGACAATGATAACACACACACGAGTGTACCAAATCTGAAATCTGAAATGTTCTAAAATTCAAGTTTTTGAGCACCAACATACCATAAACAAACTTTCACACCTAGTTTCAGGTTCTGAGTCACTATTAAGATGCAGGCACACTAAAACTATTGCCTAAAATTACCTTCAGGCAATGACAAAAGAAGTTATATGGGAAATAGGAACGAATTTTACTTAAGACTTGGGTTCCCTCCCCAGTATAATTCATAAAGTATACGCAAATATTTCAAAATTTTTAAAAAATCCAAAATCCAAAGCATTTCAGGTCCCCAGCATTTCAAATAAGGGGTATTCAACTTAAATCTGAAAATTCAACACATTTTTATATAGCCCACAGGTCAAAGATAAAACAACATAAAAATCTGAAAATATTGCCAGGTGTGGCGTCACGTGCTTGTAACATTTTGGGAGGCTGTGGAAGAAAGACTACAAATTCAAGCCCAGCTTGGGCAATTTAGCATCTTAGCAAGACCTTATCTCACAATAAAAAGAAACTTTTAAACAAGGGCTAGGACTGTAGCTCAGTGTGCAGGGACTTGGGTTCATTCTCCAGTACAAAAATCTTTTAAAGTTAAAATTAGAAAATACTGTTTATGTAACCATATGAAAAGGAAAATACAACCTATCAATGTTTGTGGATACAAGTCAAATAATGCTCATAAGAAATTCTGAAGCTTTAAATACTTACATTAGGAGAACTGTCAAATTAATTATATAAGCCTCCACTATAAGACAGAAAAAGAGAACCAAACTAAACCTAAAGTAGGAAGAAGGAAATAATAATTCACTGGAATTCAATGAACAAAACATGAGAAGTTGAGAAAAGTCAATGAAAATGAAGGCTAATGCTTTGGAAAGATGAATAAAATCTATTACCTATAAGCAGAGCAATCAAGGAAAAAGAGAGAGGGGAGGGACACATTTCCAAGACCTAAAGTAAAAGGACATCACCACAAATCTCACAGATACTAAGGCCAACAAGGTGTTAAAGGATGAAATTACAACAAATTGAAGAGCATCATCAGCCTTACGTTACAGTTCTACAATAAGACAATACTTCATTCCATAAGACAGACTAAGGGCTCAGATGGGCTGAGCACCGAAGGTGGATTTTTTGGGGGGGATAAGGAGGTTTTGAGACAGATTCTCTCACTATGTAGTCCAGGCTGGCCTTGAATTTGCAACGATCGTCCTTCCTTAGCCTCGACAGTGCAGGGATCACAGGTGCCACCATACCTAGCAAAGGTTAGTTTTAATAGAAAGATTGCGAAAAACAGGAAAAAAAACCACCAAAAGTAGATTGAACATTTCAGAGTTACCTTCTTTGTAAGGCAGAGACAGAGACAGAACAGTAAAAAATAACCGACTGTTAATGCCAGGTCATTTCACAACAGTGATGCGATCAAGAATTAGAACAACTTGCAAAGACGCACACAGGTTTGTAAAAGCTGAACATCTGCAAACGTATCACACCGCAATTCCACTCCAGGAATTTATATGCCACAGTAGTGTGAGTCTATGTACACCAAGAGACATGCAAAAGATTATTCATTCTTAATAGCCAAAAGGAGGAAAGAATTTAAATCAACCATTCAAAGGATAAAGCAGGCTTTATACAATGGAATGCTGTATGGCAACAAAAGGAAAAAACCACAATGGTATACAAACCACGGACAGACTCCACAGCTGTTATTCCATTGATAAAAAGATCAAACAAGTGACACAAATCATACACGGAGTTAGAAGTCAGGATAGTAGTAAAATATCAGAATGCAGAAGGCAGCGAGCAAGAGGCAGGCAGACAGGACCCCGCAATGCTGACAGCATCTCCACAGTGGCAACGAAGGCACTTTCACTCTGTCAAATTTACTTTGTGATACTTTATCAAGCAATACTCTTAAAAATTGTGCACTTTTCTGTTAGCATGCTACCTTCAATTTTTTTTAAAAAATGAGGCAACTCTATATATGCTAATATAATAGGAAAAACTCCAAAATATGTGTGTAGCTAAACAAAAAGCAAAAACCAGGGCCGGGGATTCAGCTCAGTGGTGCCGCCGCCTGCCTAGCAAGCACACGGGCCTGAGTTTGATCCCCAGTACCAAAAAAAAGCAGGAACCACTAAACAGTGTACACAGAACACCAATATTTTTGTAAAAGGACACAGATTTGTATATAGTAATCACAATGGCAACTTTTACTCAGTGCTACTTGCTAAGGTACCACACAAGACATGTGATACACACCATGCACTGCATCATCAATTTCTCTTAAAACATCAGAAATTCAGTCATATTATTGTCCTTAAAAATTAAAACAGAGGTAAAAAGATCTCAAGTAATTTGCTCCCTCTACCCAGCATCACCTGAGAAGCCAGCGATAGCAGAGTCTCTGAGAAGAGGACCTTGGGCCTGGGACATGGGCTGAGGGAGACAAAAGCTGGCCTATCACAGTATTCTCTTAAGTACTTTTTGTAGGAATATATTTGCATATTTAATCTATTATCAAAAACACATTAAAATTTTCCTTCTACATTTTGTAATCTCTGAGCTACACAGAACTGTTTCACCTGGAGGATAATAACTTGTTTTACTACTTTACCTGACTTAGGGTGCAAAGCATCACACTGGGCATTATACATGTGGACAAATTCTTGGTGCCTCTTGATGAGCTGCTGTTTATTTCCTTGAATAGATAATCCATGCTGTTTTAGCTTTTTCTTTAAATCACGATCAGAGAGTAAATTATACACGGTTTTGGGCAGCTGCTTCCTTTTTTGAGCAGAACTGTAAAAGGGGGAAAAATCTCTGATTATTGGGAATTATCAAATGCTATCATGTAAAACTGTAGCTTACCTTCACAATCAACATCTGTGTGTGACTGAGAGAGCAGTGAAGCTATAAGACAAACAGGGAAAGAGGAGAGAACTTGTGGGTAAAGTTTAACATTCAGATAGACAGGTAGGTACAGGTGGCACCAAAATGAGAGAAAGACTCAGGTCTCAGAAAGAGGTCAAGGCTGAAGATGTGGACTGGAAACTTGCACCCAAGGCTCACAGCCTAAGTGTTACGAGAACTGCACTTCAAATCTCACTTGTGCAGACCTATTCAGTCCTCTACCTCGTTAGAGCATACTTTCCCTAAAATCTACCCATGGTTTCCATGCAAAGTTCTTATAAAAATGAGCTACCTTAGATGATTAGAGTATGGATGTGACTGCAGGATTCTCCATGGATTGAAGGCTATGTTATTACCTAACTTCTCTAGAAGAAGTTCTGATCTACAGGCAAAACTTCCCCTCAAATTCAGGACAATCAATTTTGCAAAAGTACTGCATGAGAATCAGAAGACCTGGATGATAGCTACCTTCACTGAACTCATGACCACGGCTGAAAAAATGACTCACGGCTGAAAAAAAGTTGGCCCACAAGTAATATTCATGTGGTATACTCTTGTGGTGTCATCTCCTAAAATGCACAAAAATAGCAAAAATGTGATAGGGTTCTGTTCTCCTCAATTATTTAAGTTAATATATAAGCCCTTAAAAAAACTGTATTAGCAAAATCACCATCTAGCTTCTCATTTTTCATTTTTCTCTTTCTCTCTCTCTCCCTCCCTCCTGGTCTCCCTCTCTTGTACTAGGGATTGAACCTAGGGCCTCCGCACTAAGCTCCATCCCCAGGATTTTTTTATTTTTTATTTTTGAGACAGGTAAGTTACCCAGGCCAGACTCAAACTTGTGAACTTCCTTCCTCAGCTTTCCCAAGGGCTAGGAGTACACCTGTGCACTACCACCACATGGACTCATTCAATCTTCATAACAAAAACTTACAAAAATGTTGTAATAACAAGTCATATTACTTTCTCCTACTCTTCCCCCCAAAGTTATTATAAATACCAAATTACTGAAAAGTATCAATGACTTGAGATAATTTCACAAAGAGGAACTCCTTAGCCTGAATCCATCACACAATTCAGTTCTATGGCCAATGAGGTGATTAACAAGTGTTTTTCAAGATCATTACAATTACAATCACTTCAAAATGAGAGGAGCAAAGATTCAGGTGAAAATTAATGGGGACTTGAAAGTAACAGATTTATCAAAAGAACAAGGTTTACATAGGATCTGTACAGAATCAGTTCACACTAAGCTCTCCAAACAAACTCCAGTATCCCTTAAATAGCTTGGAGCGCTTGCTTACAATGCATATTCCCAGCCCCTTCTCTACAACACCCATCCACACTTCAGGCCAGACAGAGGTGGAAACCTAAAACCTGTATTTTGAATATGGTTCCTGTGATAGTTACTGTGTCAATTCAAGTAAGAACACCCAATAAATTGGATCAGCATAGTTCTGGATGTGGCTGAAGGGATTTGCTGAAGACAGAAGACCCAGCTTGGGCATGAGTGACAGCAACCAACAGGCTTGTTGCCCGAATGGTATGAAAGGAAATGAAGAAGGCAGGCTCCCTTCTGTTCTTAGGAGGAGCTCCAATCTTCATCTTCATCTTGGATGTCGTCTCCTGGCTTCCAGTACAGGCCCTTCAGCCTCCTGACACAGACTTGCATGGGACACTGCAGTGAGCTCCACCCCTTCAACTGGATCCTTCAGATCTCCAGGGCACAGACAGCCCTCTTGCGAGCTTCCACAATTGACTCTGTGGGCAGCTACTATAAGCAAATCTTGTAAATTCTTATATATTGGTTTATCTTGCATTAATTAAATGTTTCTCCAGTAATCACTGACTGATACAGATTTTGCTACTGGGAGTAGTGGCTCTAGAGAAACAGAATTGTAAAAATGAAATTCTTTAATGGTTTTAGTGGTTCCTGGATTTGGCTTTCTAATTTGACGAGATCTAAAGACACCACAACCTCTCCTGATAGATAATGTGGGGAATATTGATGGTTCTTGGTGTGAACTGTTTAAAGTAATACCCAACGTAGGTGCATTTGATTAGCCTGATGCATCACTTATTTAGTGTAAGAAATTTAACAACTCCATATATGATAGTTACTTTTGAATATTGTTGGAAGAGTGGAAAATATAATACTATCTGGTTGCTCTTAGCATCTCTGGACAAACTAGCGAAGGAAAATAATGAGCTCAAGATATGCAAAGAAAATCTAAGCCTTCTAACCATGAAGACAAATTAATAAAGGAAAATAAGGAGCACAAAGATTCAAACACCCAGATGCAGACACACATAAATAATCTAAAAGTTTCTAAGTGTGTCCTGAAAGAGAATCTCCATTTCTTTAGCCACAAGGCTGAAACTGTAAAAACCCAAACACAGGCCCTAATAATGTGACTGGCTGAAACATAGCATAAATGTAATGCTCAGCCTTGAAGGGTATCTGAAGTGAGGGTGAGGAGAGCACTGACTAGAAAACAATGGGATCCAGTAAACTGGGATGGAGATGTTTGGGAAGATGCTGATGAGGCTAAGGATGTCGCACTCCTCCACTTTAATGAGATTATTTTTCCAGAGGAAGAGATTTCCCCACCGGCAGTGGCAGAGGCATCCCCACCCCCACCTGCAATGATGTTGGCCTCTCCTAATATACCCGGGGGAATTAATCCTGTTTTGGCCAAATATGATAATAGTGACACTCCTCAGGACCCACCCTCACCACTCACTTTTGCAACCAGTCTCAAATCACAAAAAGCTCCAAAGGCTGGGGTACATAATGTGAACCACGAGGTCCACCATTCTCCTGAAGAACTTCTTGGGTTTTCTAACTCTTATAAGCAGGGACCTGATGAGCAGGTGTGGGAGAATGGTGGCAAAAACATACACCTGGATCAGGCTGAGTTTCTCAATATGGGCGTGCTAAGGAGGAATTCTAAATTTAATGTTGCAGCTTGCAGAATAAAAAAAAAGGTATGAATAGCTTATCTGGCTGGTTAGAAGTGTGGATCAAAAGATGGCCCACTGTGAATGAGTTAGAGATGCCTGATATTCGCTGGTTTATTGTTGATGGGTGATTCAACAGCTCAGGGAAATGGGTATGCTGGAGTGGATCTGTCATGTTAAACCTAATCCTCCACACTGAGATGATCCAGAAAATGCACCCTTCATTAAAACCTTGAGAAAAAGATTCATAAGGGGAGCACCAGCACACCTACAGAGCCTTGTCAATGCTCTTCTCTATCAGACTTTACAGTGGGGACCAAAGTCACTCAACTGGGAGAGTTAGTGGCAGGGGTGAAGTGGCAGCACTTAATCACCAAAGGGAAGGTGCATGCACTGTGCACTGGGGGAAAAGAAAGTGATTAGACATTTTGATGACCATACTACTGGACAATGGTTCTGAACTAATGCTGATTCCAGGGGATCCAAGACACCACTGCGGCCCTCCGGTAAAAGCGGGGGCCTATGGATGTCAGGTGATCAACAGCAAAGGTCTGACTTTCAGTGGTCCAATAAGCCCTCAAGTGCATCCTGTGGTCACTTCCCCTTTTCCAGAATCCATAATTGGGATAGATAGTAGTTCTTGGCAAAATCCTCACATTGGTTCCTTAATTTGTAGTGGTGGGGCTATATGGCTGGAAAGGCCAAATGGAAACTTTTAGAGTTGCTTTTGCCTGGTAAAATAGTAAACCAAAAACAATATCACATCGCTGGAGGGACTGCAAAGATTAGTGCCACTATCAAAGACCTGAAGGATCCAGGGGTAGTGGTTCCCATATCTCCATTTAATTCTCCCAATGGCCTGTGCAGAAGACAGATGGGTCTTGGGAAATCATAGATTACCATAAACTAAATCAAGTGGAGTCCAATTGCAGCTGTTGTATTAAATGTGGTGTCCTTGCTTGAGCAGATCAGTACAATTCTTGGTACTTGGTACACAGCTTGGCAAATGCCTTCTGCTCCATACCTATCCATTTTCTGCTGGTGAGGTCAGTTATATACCCTCATTGCCCTACCTCAGGGTTATACTAACTTCCCAGCCCTGTGTCACAACTTAGTTCACAGGGATCTTGAGCACCTTTCTCTCCCAGAAGGTATCACAGTGGTCCATTACATTGATGATATTATGCTAACTGCATCGAGTGAGCAGGAGGTAGCAGCCACTCTGGGTTTGTTAGTAAAGCATTTGCAAGCCGGAGGATGGGAAATAAATCCAACTAAAATTCAAGGTCCTTCTACTTCAGGAAAATTTCTAGAAGTCCAGTGGTATGGGGAATGTAGATATATCCCTTCTAAGGTAAAAAGTATCTATCCCAATTACACATTTGGCTCCCGCTACACTTGAAAAAGGAAGACAATGCCAGGCAGGCCTATCTAGATTTCAGAGGCAACACATTCCTCACTTAGCATGTGTGACTCAGCAGCTAGTTTTGAGTGGGGCTCAACATGAGAAGGCTCTGCAACAAGTTCTGGCTGCTGTGCAGGCTGCTCTGCCACTGTGGCCAAACAATCCAGCAGATCTGACAGTACTTGAAGGGGCAGGTAGGGATGTGATCTGAGTCTCTGGCAGGCCTCCATACGTGAACTGCAGTGGAGACCTTTAGGAGTTTGCAGCAAGGCTCTGCCACCATCTGCCAACAACTACTATCCCTATGAAAAACAGCCCTTGGCCTGCTACTGGGCCTTACTGGAAAGTGAATATCTAACCATGGGACACTAGGCTACCTTGCAACCTGAGTTGCCTTTTGTAAGATGGGTATTATCTGACCTATCAAGTCATAGCTTGGATGTGCACAACAATAGTCCATCATTGAATGGAAATGGTGCAAGTAAAGTTCATAAAGAAGTTGCCCAAATGGCCATGGCTCCTA